TGTATTATAATGCCCCTGTTGCTACAGCATTCTACCCAGGTAAAAAGTCGGAAAACACTCCTTCACCCCTGCAAATCTTCCAAGATTGCTCATGAACACCAAGTTAATTTAAGGATAGTTTGGCCTTTACTGTTTCATTCTACAGGGTTCCTATGTTTTAATGAACAAGGATAAACTCACATTTTCTTTGATGTGTTGCCGTTTCCATGAGATATTAAAACTCGCCCAACCTTGTGGTCTTTTTTTACTTTTTTATCTTCTTTTGCCTCTTGAAGCAATGGCGGCAGTAATTTGGAGGGCTTTTTATTGGCCATCAATTATATTTAAGCAGCAAGTCTTGTTACTTTCATTTTTCACAGATTGTTGCTGTCAAAGAATATAGTTAAGGTTGTTTTTTGTTTTGCTTACATGCTAGTTCCAACTGCCACATTTTCCTAATATATACCATGTTTCCCAAAAAATAAGACAGGATCTTATATTAATTTTTGCTCCAAAAATCCACTAGGCCTAATTTTCAGGGGATGTTTTATTTTATAGTCATGTCATCTTCTGGTTGCTGCACAATGCTGCACAATGGTGGAAGGTGGGGTTTCACTTAACTAGGGCTTATTTTAGGGGGTAGGGCTTATATGATTCATTATGCGATTCATACAATCCTGACTGGGATTGTATTTCTTTCATATTGTATTTATGGCTGTGGTTAAAAAAAAGGTTGAAAATGGCTGCTCTACAATATCACATGGGCACTTTTGTATACTGCATTTAAAATATTTCTGTGCTGCCTTTCTCCTCAAAAAGACTCAAGGCGGCTTACATCCCTAAAATCATTTAAAAGCTAAAACAGTAAGTATAAAAATATTCTAAAAATAATTTTAAAAGTACTATATTAAAATTGTTACACCTTTCCTGTTCAGCCTTATATAACAAGTTTTCTGGAAGGTCCAATCTGAGCATCCGTTTTTCAGCAATCATTTTAAAAAGTCATTTAATTAGCAATAAGCACTTATTTCTCAACGCATAATTATTTAAATGATTGTTTAGCCTCTCTCTCAAGCGTTCTTTGTCTTTAGATTAGGAGTACAAATCAGAAGCAGATCTTTGGGAAAATTTTTTTTTTAATTTTACAGTAACTCCCAGGATCCTCCAGCCAGTAAGATCAATGCCCATACTGCCTGGGAGACTGGTTAGGCTAAAGGTCACTCAAAATAAAAAGATAACTCGTCAGTAAGAGCTTCTCCTTCAATTACAAATGCTATTCCAGAAGTATAAATGCTAATGATACAGGACCCCACTGTTACTCAGGTCCACTTCTCCTCCTCCCTGCCACCCCGTTTCTAAATACTGTGTAAAATTAGTGGGAAGAACAGCATGCAATTAAACACATATATTAAAAATAAGTTCTCTTGAGTTCTCCTGGACATACTCTTTAATAAGATTGCTTGTGACTGCATGTAGGAATGGGCATTTCTTGGCCAAACATATCTTCAGTGGTTCCCAGCCCTGCTTTCTTCCAGTACTGTACTGTACTAAACCACTTCTGAGTATTCTCTAACAAGAAGACACTGAAAAGGGTCGCCATAACGCAGAATTGACTTGATGGCACAATTGCTTTTATCATCACGTTCTTTAAGTATATCGTTCTAATACTTCACCATCTTTAGGTGAGGAAAAAAAACTAACATGCAAGCTGTACTTAGTCCAACAGTGTCGGCTTCACCAAGCAAACAATGGATAGTTGACCCCCATGCCTTCGTAATAAACAACCAGGTGCCACAAGATCATGTAGTTTTTGCTGAAACCGTCAAACACATCTAACCCCTTCCGGAAGGCGTTCCAAAATAAATCAATTTATCCAACGGGATGAATTAACCTTACAGACCCCCCCCCCCCCCACCCGTTGCTTAGCAGCCGCCCCCCCTGAACTCCATTCCGCAAACACTACAGAAACCGTTGGATTGCGAACGGGGGCACGGGATCTCAGATCCTGCGCATGCTCGGTGTAAAGTAAAAGGAAAAGCTAGCTCGGTAAGGAAACGACGCGCGGCCGCTCCTTCCAACGAAATTTGCGCAGCTCGATTGTGACAGACGGCACAATTTTGTCCTTTGTAGGTCCCTGTACATACAGGTTCTTTCGCTTCGGAGAACTATGACGGGAGCGCATGGGGGCTCCTCGGAGGCCCTTCGTTACCCCGAGTACGTAGCCGGCAGCGGGTCCCCGGACTTAAACAGAGGGCTGGTAAGTGTGGAGCGAAAGGAGAAAGCCTTGAGTAGAACGGAGGCCTGCTCCTCGGGTCTTCGCGTTTGTTGAGTAACAGCCCCGTCGCGAGCATGCGCACTTGTGCTTTTCAGGGAGCCGGCTCTGTGCTTCCTGGGCCCCCTCAGAGGACGTTGTCGTCTCTTCCCAGATGTTCTGCCCTGGCTTGGAAGCCTGGTAGCGGGGCAGGCGTCTTTCTCCGGCGTGGTTACTGGTCGAGGTTCACAATGTAGAATCCCCTCACGCCTTTTCCACGGGACCTGGCCCGCTGAGAAGGCCCGTGGAAGGCAGAGAAAGCGATGGGGTTGTCCGGCACGGAATGGGGGAAGGAAAAGGAGGGTTTTACCTGTCGAATTTCTACCTGCCTAACAGTTGTTAAAGGCGCAAGATTCCTTTCAGAAAATAAGGAGATGCCCCCCACTTTCTAACTTCAAAAGCATGGAGGTTGCAGTATATTTCATTTCGCAGTTGCTCTTCAGCTCAGTTTAGATTGGGGCAGGGAAAGGGGAACATGCGGGTCTCCACGTGTTGAGGTGTAACCCCCAGGGTCTTGGTGATATCTGCAGGCCGGCAATATCTGGAGGAGAACAGGTTGCCCATCTCTGAACTAGGACAATAATCTCCAGTCTTCACGGGGCTGGGAGCCATATTTGCTGCTCCAAGCTTTATCCTGCTCCCATGTACCGGTTTTAACTAGATGCATCTAGTCTTGTCCAGGTGTGAAAGGGGCGAGGCTCCTGTATCTTTAATAAGTGCATAGAAGAATCTTTGTAGTACATGGAAATTGTGGAGAGCTAGTGTGGTATAGCAGTTATGAACTGGGATGCAGGAGAGTCAAATCGTTGCTTGGCTATGGAAACTCATTGGAGGATGAGAATTGTAAACTACTCCTTGAATATCATATACAGTATCTTGAAAACTGGAACCTAACATGATCGCTGTGCAGAGGGAAATGGAATTGTGCGTGCGCGCGCACACACACACACACAGAGTTGTGCGTGCGCGTGCGTGCGCGCGCGCGCGCGCACACACACACACACACACACACACACACACACAGAGAGAGAGAGCTTAGCGGGAACCTTGTTTACGGTGTCTCACTCTTCAGTTTTTTCTTTAGGTATAATGTGCTCAGAAGTAGTGTATTGTTCCTTCTGAGGGTGTTCCGCGACTGTGCAGTTTCCCCAAAGCGTTGTGCGTGCGCGTGCGTGCGCGCGCGCGCGCGCACACACACACACACACACACACACACACACACAGAGAGAGAGAGCTTAGCGGGAACCTTGTTTACGGTGTCTCACTCTTCAGTTTTTTCTTTAGGTATAATGTGCTCAGAAGTAGTGTATTGTTCCTTCTGAGGGTGTTCCGCGACTGTGCAGTTTCCCCAAAGCTAAACAGGCTGGCTTTTCGTCCAGGAAGCATAGTAGGGAAATCATGCTCTGCAGCAGCTTCACAGTATCAAATCAAATAAATTTATTGTCATTGTAAGTACAGTATATACATAGTATACTCATACAATGAAATTCACACAGACACCCAGAGACCAGACCCACATGCACACACATAAGAAATCCCCAAACATTCCCCACCCACTAAAAATCCCCTACTTAGAATACAAACATCTACACCGCACGCTAAGTAACACTGTCCAACTATTCATTACTGTTGGTCTTTAAGCTCATTATTAAGTGCAGTTATAGCTCTGGGATAAAAACTGTTCAGAAAATGTGTGGTCCAAGTCTTAAATGTTCTATATCTTCTGCCAGGCGGCAACAATTCAAAAAAGTTGTAAGTAGGATGGGAAGTCTCTCAAGATATTGTGTGTCTTCCTCAGACAGCAGGATGTGAAGATGTCATCCAGGGTTGATAGCTGGAGCCGATGATATTCTGGGCAATTTTAATGGTTCTCTGTAGAGCTTTTTGGTCCGCTACTGAGCTACTCCCAAACCATACCAGAATGCCATAAGTTAGGATATTCAATGGTGCTACGATAGTAGGACAGAAGTAAATGCTGAGATAAATTTAATTTCCCGGGCATTCTCAGGAAATACAGCCTCTTCTGTGCGTTCTTTACTAGCATGTTGGCATTTATAGTCCATGAGAGGTCCTCTGAGATGTAAGTGCCCAGAAATTTAAAACTATTAACTTTCTCCACTTCCTCGCTATTTATGTACAGTGGTAAATGTACATTTCTCTTTCTCCTAAAATCAATTATGAGTTCTTTAGTTTTTTGATGTTAAGTGTAAGATTATTTTCTTTACATCAGAGTATCAACCCTTGTACTTCCTTTCTGTAAGCAGACTCATTGTTCTGATTTATGAGCCCCACCACTTTCATATCGTCTGCAAATTTAATAATTGCATTGGTGTTATACAGTGGGGTGAATCGTGTGTACAGGGAAAGGAGAAAGGGATTTAGCACACAGCCCTGGGGAGCTCCTGTACTTTCTACCAGAGTAGAAGAATTGTGAGATCCCATCCTTACTTACCGTGACCTATCTGTCAGAAAGTCCTTTACCCATACACAAATCTTCTGAGGTAATCCTAGGTTGATCATTTTATAAAACAACCTATTGGGTAGAATGGAGTTAAAAGCAGAGCTATAATCCACAAACAATAGCCTTGCATAAGTTCCCTGTTGTTCTAAGTGAATACAGTATGGGGTACAATGGACACAGCATCATCAGTAGATCTATTTCTCCTGTATGCAAATTGCCATGTGTCCAAAGAAGTTGGAAGACTAGCCTTAATGTAATCCAGCACCAATCTCTCAAGTAGGAAAGCAATATGTAGTATGTAACCATTATTGGCAATTTAATGGAAAACTGATTAATTCCATGGGTGAAGGAAATAAATCTGAAGTCAGAACTTAAATCAGTTAATTTATTCAGCATATGGTTTATGAAACTCTGGCTTGTTTTAGGTTGTGAACCTACATTCCCTAACAAGCAATGGTTTGTTCATCTGCCACAAGCTGCTATCTGAATCCACCTGTAGTTGTAGTCTTAATGTGACAACAGGCCAGATTTATTTCTTTAGTTGCCTATACAGAAATAAGACCTTTAAAAAAGAAATGGGAGAGAAATAAAACAAAGCCGTGGTTTGTCTGCTGTACAGTATGGCTTATCAAGATGTGTAAATGTGTTCAACTACAAATGAAACTTATTTGCTGTTGTCAACTAGATGCATGTAATATCAGTTCCTTAAGAAATAGCTTGCAAGCTTTTAGTATGATTTGTGCCTTTATTTTTTCTCTATGCAAGCTGTATGCAATTTTGTAATCCTGTAGTTTTAATATTTGTAGCTGTGCATAGAGTCTTGTTAACACTAAGGCATGCTTATTGTAGCCCTTTTAAACCTGTGGGTGGAATCCTGTTTTGATGCTGTTCTATACTGTGGGATCATTCAGTCCTATTTCTCTGGTTCCGTCCCCTCACCCCATTATATCAGAATATGTATTTTGCAGTAATCAGATGTGTGTATTCATATTTTTTTTGCCATTCCAGGAAATGAATAAAATAATATACAATGAATAAAAACATGTATCAGGAACCTTTTCCTAAAACCTACAAAATAAGGTCATACTTATTGAAATTTAGTCAAATGTACACTTTATCCAGTAAGACATTTCTGAGGCATCTACTGTGTTCTATTCTGTATTTATAAAGAATTGAGTCTGTAGTCCAGTACTCATTTATCTGGGATGTGGTATAAAGGTGTTTCATGATGAAATCAAACCTTAGTGAACCTCATCTATCCACACACTTCTTGTGTGCAAAATCTTTAGCCTGAGAATCAACAATATCAGAGGACAAATTCCAACACTTGTTTGTCAAGGAGGAACTAATTTGAACTTGAATTTTCTTGTGCTAGAACCTTGAATGTAGATTGTTTGTGATATGATGAAGATTATCTTTGTATGTTTCTGGAATTTATCTGAAAGTTGGGTATAATGCCAAGGTCAGTGGAAGATAGATGGCCATCTGAGTACAGCTACACTCAGCTGTTCCACTGCTCTGTTTTGCCCTGCCATCCGAAGGATATTTTAGAGATACTGTACTTCATCCACCTACTCCAGAGAATTAGTTGTATTTGCAGGATGTGGGGAGAGGAAAAAAGATCAAGATACAGCTCCAATTCCTTACCAAAACCTGTCAAACAATTACAGATTGTACAGCCTGATCTTTCAAAAGGACTTGGTGAGTGGTGGTCCTGTTATCCTGTGCTCAAATAGATATGAGGTTCTTGGGTCAGAATCGGAAACCCAGTGTTCAGCAGATTAAATTTCCCCTTTAAACAGTGAATCATAATTGGGAGCTGAGTTTGCTAGCCCCAGACTCACCCAGCCAGAAAACTCCCCAAGAAAGCAGAAACTAATCAGGAGAAACTGCCACTGGACATAATATCAGAATATTCCCTCCTTTTGGCTGAGACTGTTAAAAATATTTTCCAACAGCTTACCTTAACCTCCAGCAAACTTGATTCATTAAGCCATGCTTTTGATGTTCTCAACCAGAAGATTACAGAGGCTCTCCCCTCACTAAATTCACCAGAGAGCCCTGTTAACAGCAACTTTACATTGCCTGACAAGGGGGCACAGACTTTGCAGGTGATTTCTCCAAGAAGAGGCAACAGCTGGAGGTGTGAGCCAGGGGGACAAGGGGGGATATCTCCTCCGCTGCAGACCACCCAAATAATTCTGCATGTTGCTAATAACCAGGTAAATGAAGAATGCTAGACAAACAGGAGATCTGCTCAACATTCACTGAGTCAGCTATTGCACTCAGATATCTGGTTTATTGACCTACAGAAAATTGAAAAACTACCCAGGTCCACCACCAAGGAGAAGAGTTTTACTGACTTTCAAACAGGCTACCATACTTTCCATGCTACTAAAAATGAAAAGGTACCTGTCTTTCTCTCTCTGGTATATTACCCTGTTTCCCCTAAAATAAGCCCTACCCCCAAAATAAGCCCCAGTTAAGTGAAACCCACCCTCCACCATTGTGCAGCAACCAGAAGATGACATGACTATATTTGAATAAATGTAGATTGTTGTACATTGGGGGGGGGGAACCCTGAAAATAAGCCCTAAGGCGTTTTTGGAGCAAAAAATAATATAAGACCCTGTCTTATTTTCAGGGAAACACGGTAGCAAATAAAGCTTTTGCTGATGAAAAAGTTTATCCTTTGTCTACAACCCATACTGGCAGAGTACTTATCTCCTTCTGGCCTTCAAACATCCATGTTTCCAGCCTTCCTAACCAAAACATCAACCTTGTCATAGAACAATGATAAAGGAACAGCAGCTATCAGCACCTAACTTGCTAAAGGACAGAGCGTTGCAGTCAATTAGGAGAGGCAAACAGCCTCATGATCACCCATTCCCCTTGCATTGTTTGCTGGCTTGTTGAGAAGGTTGCTGGCAACCAAAATATGATCAAAATTTGATGTTTGTTACAAAATTTTACAAAAATATGTAACCCTTTAAAAAGGTCAAACTATGATTTTTCAGGAAAAATAAAACCCACTTTTCACGAGATTACTCCTAAACATGTTTTAACTTGCTTATAAATTCAAATAAAAGTTGCAGAAAAAATATGACATGCCATAGAAACCCTGGCCCTAATTATTTGTATATTATTGGTAATGTGTTTTTAAACTGTTTAATCTATAAAAAAACCCCTTTAACTTTGTTTTATATTACAGCCTTCTCAAAATAATTCTCAAATATAGTCAAGTAACTATCATAAAATGAGAAGCAGTAGAACTCCAACACCCCAAGCCATCTAAAATAGTGACACAGACAGGAACAGTTTAAAAATTTTATTAGGAGACTTCACCCAATTTAGTAATCACAAATATCAATAATCAGGACTTTAAAACACATTTAAAAACAAAGAAGGGCCTAAATAATGTCAGGGAGTTTGGAAAGGTCTTTTCTTTTGTGCCTGCCACCTTGATGGATCTTGCTAATTGGCCAGAGAACAGGGCCTCAAGGATTCCTTGGGTTTGCAACAAGATCAGTTGTTTGGATTCTACACCATACTGTTATAATCCGAACTTCTTTTATCACCTGACATAAAGTACTTGTTTTCTTTGTCATATCTTTGAGGGCAGGGGCAACAAATATCTCCCTTTCCTATTAGTGAAATGAGCACCCTAATTACCTCATGTCTCATATTGTAAGAATTAATGTTTGTAAACTCTTTCAAGAGGCTTAGATTAAAGATGCTGTACAAGTGGAAAGAATTATTCTTGAAAATGATGAGTTGGGTTTCTGTAACAAGGCAAAACATGACAAGAATTCCAACAGTGAACTGTAATCACTTGAAGTGGTGCATCTGCTGGAGTGTTAAAGAATATTAATGTGATTTCTTTGGGAATGAAAGCAAGCTCGGAATAAGTATAATGTATTAGCTACATATTAGTGCTGTTAGAAACTAGTAAGATCTAGTTTGATGAATTTTGTATTGAGTCCCTAAATTAACACTTTTTCTGTATGTTGTCAAATGTTCTATTTTGTGAGGAATTCATGAAGAAAACATGCAGGTTCAGTAACTAAAACAATTCAGCTGAAAAATTATAGTGCTATAAACCCACTAGTGTAAATTTCAGCTGTGAATTGCTGGAAGTTATGAAATCGTTATAGGCATTTGCTATACCAGGTCACATGGCTGGTGTGCAATGTTGATTAATTTAATTAATATGTGGCAATTCAAAACTGAGACTTAAGCAATGGAATTACGCCAGCAGGCGTGACTAACAGGATTCTGGCCAATTGTTTGGGAGTATAGTATTGTTGCAGTTGAAAATTTGTATATTTAGGTATTCTTTTTCACTATAAATATTCCTGAGTTTCTCACTGCAAATCAATTTTAAACATAGCCAGGCTTTCTGTGCAGCCCATACCTCAATTTTATTACAACACCGGCAACCGATATGTCCCGGCAGCCCTACAAGTTTTTAAATCTAAAGTTACACCGCAAATTCTGCATGGCATCCCAATTTGGCAAAAAATCTAAAGTTACACTACAAATTCTGCATGGCATCCCAATTTGGCAAAATGCCATGGATTGCTCAATGGAACAGCTACAATCCCAGTTCTTATGTGAGGTATTAGGCCTACCAAGGTACATTCCCTACTTGGTACTCTGTCTTGAGACTGGACTATCTACATTGGAAATGATGGCATGGCAGAACTTTTTAATTCTGGCAAAAAATGTTTTATAACTCAGACCAAGACAGCTTATTGTATCAGCTTCTGCAAGATTCTGACTCTCCTTTTGGGTCTACTGCCCTTTTTGAAAAACTTATTCACCTAGTTCTTTAGTTTCACTAAGTCTAGAGCTAGCATTTTGAACAGTTAAGAGATGAATTATGAACATTGAGTTTCAGGAATTATGGAATGGAGCTGATAAGTCTTGTTCCCCGTTGTCTCTCTACATCCCCTTTAAAATGGGACAACCAGCTGCTTACCTTGTGCTGCTTAAATGTCCACAAAACCGCAGGGCCTTTTCTCTGGCCAGATGTAGTCATGCCTGGTGCTGTATCATATGGTAGGTATAACGGAACCCCTTATCACGAAATATATTGTCCATATAACAAGGGTGCTTTGGAAACCTTTACTCACGTGCTCTTGCACTGTCCACTTCATCGGGACTGTCGCAAAAAGGATGTCACCTCAATATTATTTGAGCTGGAGGGGAAATCGGATCTGGACAAGTTCTGTTTTATGTTATCTGTGGAGGTGGTTGACATTACGGAACAAGTAGCTGTTTTTCTTGGGTCAGTTGTTAGGAGGCGAAGCCCTGACTGCAAATGAATGTATTTGTTTCATGCTCCCTGTGAGTCCGGAAATCTAACAAAATAGCCTGACTATATTTATTTTATATGCCAACAAAGGTTTATTGTTATTATTATTGAAAATTTGTGCCCACCTATGTTGCGCTTTAAGTCTTATTTTATAATCTGCAAGAAATAAATGCAGTTTATTCAGTTTCATTTTGAATATGAGCCATCCTGGTTCTTATCATTAAATATTTGAGAGATTGATGTAGAAGAGATGGAGGGGGTGAGAGTACAAAATGGAAGGAAGTTGCTTAGTGCTATATAGACAGGGTTGTATTTAATCTGCATTAGACAAAAGTAGGATTTCTCTCAAGAAAGGCTAAATTCTGTAACCCGTATAAATCAAGTGTTTGTATTTTAAATTACTTGGATACCCTTAGTGTTGGTTATACAGTAGTTTCATCTGAGGATTGTGAAATGATGTACTGAATTCTACCTACTTCTTTTTTAAATAGGCCAGATCTATGATAGCAGTCGGTCTTGGTGTTGCAGCTGTTGCTTTTGCGGGTAAGTACAACAATTGTATGCATATTTAAATACTTAAACTGGAATATAATATAATACTTCGAACAATACGGGGTTATTTCCTACTTGGACTCATAGGGGCCTAGACAAAAATATTCCAGCAAAATCAGAAATGACCAGATAGTCAGCTTCATTTAAAAAAACCCAAAACAAATAAACCCTGTTTATACTGTAGAATATGCAGCCTTTTGTGCAAGTCAGAGCATTAGATTCTTTGATCTGTACATACTACAGCCCTGTTCACCATATATAATTCTGTTCTAGAAAAGAAAGGCAGGTAGGGACAGGAGGCTTAAGAGGATGGGTGCTTCAATCTGAGCTAATGCAAAAGGGACTGCAAAATTACCATTGCATTATAGTTCTTACAACATTCTATTACTATATTAACTTGCCTGCTTCTTTAGTTTAGAAGTTGAATATGATCCTGCACTTGTTTGGAACTTTAGTTCCAGCAGTAGCTAGAAATAGTTTTTGCTAATATTATCTTCTAAAAAACTAACAATTTCTGCACCATTTTGATTGTAGGATGGAGTGGTTTTCTCTTGCTAATACAGTGGTACCACGACTTAAGAACTTAATCCGTATTGGGACTGTGTTCTTAAGTCGAAACGTTCTTAAGCTGAATCACCATTTCTCATAGGAATGCATTGAAAACCATTTAAATCTGTATCTGCTGTTTTTCGTTCTTAAATCGAGGTGCTGTTCTTAAGTCGAAGCATTAGTTCCCATAGGAACTAATGCAAAGCCAGTTAATCCGTATCTACCACTAGGCAGTGAATTTTTTTCTTCTTCTTTTGACCTAAGGTGAACTTAGGTCAGTTTAGAACCTTTTTTTGGTTCTTAAGTTGAGGCTCCGTTCTCAAGTCTAAGCAACCTTTTGCGAACGGAGCTGTTCTTCACTCGAATTGTTCATATGTAGGGACGTTCTCAAGTCACGGTACCACTGTAGGAGTGGTGTGCATCTGACCATTTGATTCTCTTCATCTTTCTGGTATTGGACCTTTCTGCTTCACTCAAATTTGATTCAGCTCCAGTTTCAGAAAGAAAATAGTAACCACATGACTGACAGGTGAAAAAAAGATTTGATAGTTAACTGGCCATACAAGAGCAACTTATGTTTATGATATGAAAGTAAGATTTTAGTTGTATGATATGAACTTGGTAGTTTTTTTATAATGGTTGAAATCCTGTTGCTTAACATAGCATGTTGCAGAGTAGGCCCCTTGAATCAGTGATGATTTGATGAGTCAACTCCTGTGTAAGTTCCATTGATTACTCAGCCATTGAATCATCGTCATCTTTTTATTTTTAACAGAAGCTACTTTTTGGTTTACAAATCCTGGATTGTTTTTGTTTTGAAAATAGCCACAAGGTAATATGTCATGCATAACACTGGCCAATACAGTGGGGTCTTGACTTGAGAACTTAATCCGTATTGGAAGGCGGTTCTCAAGTCAAAAAGTTTGTAAGTCAAGTCTCCATTGACCTACAGTGCATTGAAAACTGATTAATCCCGTAACAGGCTGTTTTTGTTCCATTTTGGTTTTTTGTACTGGGACACATAGTCAAACTCAAAATAGCATACTCTTTCTGTGTTTGATCAAATGTGTTCTTACTCTTGTTTGAAAAAGACAGTGTAAGTAACTATGGCAGTATTTAAACAGCAGTGGAAGAAGTACACTACCTTTTCTCTGGTTTTGGTGAAAGTAAGAGTGTCTGTGACACAGTGGTCCCCAACCTTTTTTACTCCATGGACTGTTTAGTATGTGTGTGGGGGCGTCTGCGTGTGTGTATGCGTGCTGGATTATGTCTGTGTGTGGGAGCGTACATTCATGGGGACTGTGTGTGCGAGGAAGCGTGCATAGGGAGGCAGGAGATCTGTTTCCATGGCCCAGTCCTGCCAAGGCCACAGACTGGGACTGGTCCGTGGACTGGGGGTTGGGGACCCCTGCCATAACAAGTTAAACAGCAATTCTAGACTTTGTGAAGGGGTTTCTGAATGGTTATCATGTGGTAGCAATGCACTCTGAGCAGAGCAACATCTTGTGACTGCATGTTACAAATCTTATCATTCAGTAGCTTTCAAAGAATTCCTGCCAGTTTTTATTAATAAGGGTGGGCATTTAGTTCTGTGAACAGAATGAAGGGTACCACTGTATGTCACAGTGACCATTCACTTAGGAGCATCAGAGAACTTTAAAAAGTAAATTCACAGGCAGGTAAATAAATATAGTAAAAAATTGTAACTTTCCCTGAAAATCAGAGTTGTTGTTTTTTAAAAGCACACCCAAGCAGATAGAAGTACTAACTTAAGATTTTTGCAATTCCTACATATTTTCTTTAAAAATGTTTTCCACTTTGATGCAGTAAACTCTAAAGACTATATGCACCTGCCAACTCATCATGATGCTGTGCCGGGCTTGCCTCCAAAACCAGCCACTCAGAATAGTTTGAATCAGGAAAAGGGCAACACTTTGCTCCTTTGGACAAATGAAATGAAAAATTAGATTCTTCTCTGTTTTCACACAAAATTACTGTTGCCACAAGCTTGCTTAGCAAACGAACAGATGTTAGCTTGCTTTTTGTTTTAATATTTTATAGGTCGATATGCATTCCAGTTTTGGAAACCACTAGAACAAGTTATCTCAGGAACAGCAAGAAAAATCTCAGCTGCTGTAAGTGTTGAGCTCATGACTCCTTGGGGGATGAAGTGTTTTTTCAGCGTACATGTACCTATCCTGTATAGATGACCTCTTCATGTAACTGATGAATAAGAATCTGCCCAACAAAACCTTATGCTGTACATAGATTTGTTGAACTATCATGTTTCATATAAAACTCTGTTTTTATTGCAACAGATTAATGAGGATACTCCACATATTTTCCAAGTGACATGACAAAGTGATGAAAATGTATACAATTTTAAAAACTAGTTTTCAGTGTCTGACTTTGTGTTCTGTGTGCCAAAGACTAGATGACAGAAACTAGTGTGAGCTTCAGTACTTTCTGCTAGTAAAAATGTGGCTTTCAAGCCCACTGAGATCACCAACTCCTAATCTGGTGCACATCTATTCTTCATAGATCCTCTCACCAATAATATTGCAGTTTTAAAATGATAAATTCAGATAATGAAGTAACACATTTTACTGCTTCTCAGAAACTGCTCTAGTATAATACTTGCGTACTTCTGATTTTTAGAAGCATGCACGAATTACATTAGAGAAGTTTTTGATTCTCTGTAATTCTGGTGTGTGGATTTCAATCTAATAGATCCACCACTGACATGGTATTTTCCCTCAGACAGTTGCAGGAGAAATGTAGGGAACGACAGCCACTCTTTGTGGCCTTCATACATCTTACAAAAACTTTTGATTTGTTTAGCAGGGACGGCCTTTTTAAAATTCTTCCCAAGATTGGATATCCACCTCGACTCCTTAACATCATCAGGTCCTTTCATGAGGAAATGAAGGGCACTGTAGTTTTTAATGGCTCAACAACAGATCCCTTTGACATCTGAAGCAGAGTGAAACAGGGCTGTGTCCTTACACTGACCCTGTTTGGGATCTTTTTTGCTGTCATGCTGAAGCACGCCTTTGAAACTGCAACAGAAGGTGTCTATCTGTGGACTAGATCAGATGGAAAGCTCTTTAATCTCTCTAGATTGAGAGTGAAGACCAAAGTCCAGCTGAAATGTGTGTGGGACTTCATCTTCATGATGCAGCTGTTGTTGCCCACTCTGCTGAAGCCCTCCAACAACTCATGAATCATTTCAGCAAGGCCTGCCAAAACTTTGGATTAACAGTCAGCCTGAAGAAAACTCAAGTCATGGGCCAGGGTGTGGACTCATCTCCCTCTATTGTCATCTCTACACAAGAACTGGAGGTTGTTCATGATTACATGTACCTTGGCTCAACGATCTCTGACTCTCTCTCTCTCTAGATGTCGAGCTAGATAAATGCATTGGCAAAGCAGCTACCATGTTCTTTAGATTCACAAAGAGAGTATGACTTAATAAGAAGCTGATGACATATACCAAGATCCAGGTCTATGGAGCCTGTATCCTGAGCATGGCAGGAGAGGAAGCTGAGCACATTCCGTATGCGTTGTCTCTGACACATTTTTGGTATCACCTGGCAAGACAAAGTTCCAAATAGAGTAGTCCTAGAATGAGCTGGAATATTTAGCATGTACAGTGGTGCTTCACATGACGATGTTAATTCGTTCTGCGAAAATCACTGTGAAACACAAACGTCATGCGATTTAAGAAAGCCAATAGAAACGCATTAAAACCCGATTAATGCATTCCTAAGGGCTTCAAACTCACAGTCCAGCGAAGATTCTCTATAGCGTGGCCATTTTCGCTGCCTGTGCAGCGAGGAATCCATGCCAGAAAACAGCGGCCGGCCATTTTTTTTACCCGGTGACCATTTTGAAACTGCCGATCAGCTGTGCGAAAATCATAGCTTAGCGATGAGCGGTTACCGAAACAGGGGGCCGCTCATCGCAAAGCGAAATTCCCCCATAGGGAACATCGTTTTGCGATTGCAAAAACATTGTTGTTATGCGATTTCGTCAAATGGAGCACTCGTAATGCGAGGTACCACTATATACATTACTGAAACAGCGGCATCTACATTGGCTTGGGCATGTTGTGAGAATGGCTGATGGTCGGATTCCAAAAGATTTCCTGTATGGAGAATTAGTGCAGAGAAATCGCCCCAGAGGGAGACCACAGCTGCGATACTAAGATATCTGCAAACGGGATCTGAAGGCCTTAGGAATGGACCTCAACAAATGGGAAACCTTGGCATCTGAGCATTCAGCCTGGAGGCAGGCGGTACATCATGGCCTCTCACATTTTGAAGAGACACTTGTCCAGCAGGCCGAGGCAAAGAGGCAGTCCCGAAACCAGCAAAATCAGGGAGCTGGACAGGGGACAGATTGGATTCGTCTTCAGTGTGGAAGGCATTGTTACTCTCAAATTGGCCTTCTCAACCAGACTAGATGCTGTTCCAAGTCCTCCATACAGAGCATCATGTTACCATAGTATCTCGAGACTGAAGGATGCCTCATCTTTAAAAAAATCTGATTTTTAGTGTGGTCAAAATAGCTGTGTTAAATGGAATTTCACATCAACATGTTTTCTTAGAGGAAGTTAAATTGGATTCAAAGTGGCTGACTTGTCCCTTAGATCAAACGTTATAGCTATAAATCTGAAGATTCTCAGTCATCCAGGTGAAGTTATCTGGAAATTGAGTCATGGCAACTGCACTTCTTTCTTATTAGGTTGAAATTAGAGATGGGGACGAAAATAAAAACAGATGGTTTTTTCCAACAAATATAGCCAATTTCTCACATATTCATCAATCCATATTCATTAAATTTTAAGTCCGGATGAATACGGTTTGATGACTATTTCCCTGGTTTTATTTGTTGAGCCATTGATTTGTCTATATTCGTTATCCTTTTTGGGCCCTTTACCATCTCTGAGCTTGCTGGACGGTGCCAATCAGAAGCTCTGGCCGATCAGGAGATCCTGGGTTGGCATATCAGGCAGCCAATAGCACTATTGATAGGGCTGTGGGGGCGTAACTTTTACAGAGGCTTTATAAGCTTTTCCCCTGCAGCCATTTCCCACTTCTGTTCTTTCTGTCTAGAGAGAACAGTTGCTGTTGGCTTGTGCTGTTGCTACTTGCTTGCTAGCTGTGGTTGTGGTTTCACTTTTGCTGCAGCAAAGCAAACACTTCTTTTTCTTTCTTTTTTTTATTAGTACAATTTTATTGGGAATTGGGAGGGATTTCTAGCATTTCAGTTAACTTTGCTGCCAAATACCTCATTGCCTCCTGGGGGCAAACTCCACTGGCAAATGTGATGTTGCTGAAGACAAACTCAATGCCTCATGTCTGTGTGCCTGCCAGAGACTAACCAAGCTACCTCAGTGCCAAGTATCTCTCATTCTGCTGGGGCCAAATATAACTCCCTCAATGCCATGGGCTTCTGTAACCTCGTGGTAAACTATCCTGGGGGGACCCAATTTGTGGGTGAATAACTCAGATATCCAGTCTTCACCAAATTTTGTGGGCATGTTGGGGAAAGACATAGGAAGCTTTGGTGTGATTCCGGATTCTCTAAGTACCTGGGGTGAGTTTTCCTGAGTGTTTCCTCCTTGAGACTATATCACTCAGGGATCCATTACCCAATGTTCACCGAACTTTCTGGACTTGTAGAAAACCATCTGAGAAAGCTTCCCTGCAAATTTGGTGTCTCTAGGTGCTTGGGGGGCAGTTTTATAGCCTTTTAAAGTGAATATGAATTGATGAATTGATTCATATTCATTGAATTGTTAACCTTGACAAATCACAAATCAAAACAAATCACCATTTTTTTATTCATCCCCATCTCTAGTTGAAATGTTTCACTACTCATCCAAGTAGCTTTTTCAGTCTGAGGAGAGTTGGAAGGAGATTCCTCATATATCCTCCACATTGGTTTCACTTCCCCCTGGTCTCAATATGCTTGTTAGATGGACAACGAACATGGAGGATATATCAGGGATCTCCTTCCAACTCTTCTCAGACAGAAGAAGCTACTTGGATGAGCAGTGAAACTTTTCAGCCTTATAAGAAGGAAGTCCAGTACTTGTGATTTGAACTATTTTCTAACATTATCACAGATTTTTGAATAGTATTTAAGATGGCATGAACTTCAATACTAGTTGCCTTTTTTCTTTTCTTAATTCGTATTAGTTGTTTTTAAAAGGATTCTTCATCTATGGTTCTAAAGTTCTCTCAGTATCTACATCAGACTCCTGAACCTAGCTCTTTCCACATCTGTTGGACTCTAACTTCCATAATCTTGAGCCAACATAGCTGTTGACTTGAGGTGGTGGAAACTGTCATCCCAAACATGTGGAGAAATTTGAGTTAGGTAAGATGAATATATTTTCTTAAACTATGCTACAAGTATATTAAATTGCATAATCTACAAGTGCTGTGCATTTGAAATTCCAAAGTCATCTGTTCACATTGTAGTAAAAACATTATGAAGTGAAGTCCTTGAGTCTTACTAATTTTAGTGAAATATCTGGGTCCATGCTTAAATGTCACCCACTGAAATCCTGTTAGCTGGATCATTCTCTGTGACCCTAGACATTTTTGCTTTCTGTATATCTAATTTATTTCCAAATCTGTTTTTGACAATCTAAACAGTTTCTGATGTGAACTATCTGAAACTGAAGAACATTTTTAATGAGGATGTCTTTCAAATACTAACAGCTTCCCATACTATGAAATCTTGACACATTGAGTGTGGTTTTAGGCATCTTTCAATCTTATAAAATAGTTATTTTTTATTATTTTAAAGCAAACTTATTGCAATCACAGTTATATTTTCACAGGAGATATTACCCATCAGAATTTTGAAAACATAAATTTCTTAATTTGTTGTCCACATATAAGAGTGTGATTTGATGCGGTCCAAAATTGACCTTTGTATCATGCAATACTATTAAAATGTACATGAATTTTACTGACCTTTGATAAGAACTAATACAATTTTTAGGAGGAATTAAAGAGCCTCTTAATGAGGGTGAAAGAGGAGAGTGCAAAAAATGGTCTGCAGCTCAACCTCAAAAACACTAAGATCATGGCCACTGGTCCCATCACCTGGCAAATAGAAGGGGAAGATATGGAGGCAGTTATAAATTTTACTTTTGAATTGTGGTGTCAGAGGAGACTCTTGAGAGTCCCCTGGACTGCAAAGAGAACAAACCTATCCATTTTGAAGGAAATCAACCCTGAGTTCTCACTGGAAGGACAGATCCTGAAGCTAAGGCTCCAATACTTTGACCATCTCATGAGAAGAGAAGACTCCCTGGAAAAGACCCTGATATTGGGAAAGTGTGAAGGCAAGAGGAGAAGGGGGCGACAGAGGACGAGATGGTTGGACAGTGTCATCGAAGTGACCAGCATGAATTCGACCCAACTCCAGGAGGCAGTGGAAGACAGGAGGGCCTGGCGTGCTCTCCGATTCCATAAAGAGTCGGACACGACTAAACAACAACAACAATAGAATTTTATCTTGTGCCTCTTTCCATGGCCATTAGCCTCTATTTACCACAGAGATATTGTAGGATGCATGCCACAGATTGCTAGAAATTAAGTCTCAGCATGCTAAAGCGATCCTCCTGTTTACATGTTGATGTGTACGGTGCTTGAAACAGCTTTATTACCAGAAATGACACCTAGAACCTTGCAGCTGAAAAGCCAACCCAAGAGGAGCGATTGCTATCTCTTACATCTTTTCATTTTTTAAGAGCCTCGGGTGACTCTTCTGAAGATTGGGGAAATGCTGTTCTCTGAAAGTATGTTTAATCTTTCCTCCCATGCTGTTTCCAGTGTGAAGCCCCCACCTCTGAACTCCTATTAGCTTTGCAGATAAAAGAAAGAAACATAAAACAGGTAGAGACCTGTCTTTCTTCCTGTGCAGGGCTTAGCCTTGATTGCTGTTCAGCTGTAGTTCTCTGGCTTCAAATGTGTATCATTCATGTGACAGAAGTGAGGTTATTGTACATTGATCTAATTACTTAATCTTGTGTGTCTCATTCAGAGTCTTTCTTCCTATTATAAAGGCGGATTTGAACCAAAAATGAATCGTCGAGAAGCTAGTCTTATTTTAGGCATAAGGTAAGTTGTTCTGCATTTGAGACAGAATCTATTTAGTGCCCAACCTGAAAAATGGCATAAAACACAGGGCAAAAACACTCAACTCAATAGCTTTCATTTAAATAAGCATCTTAAAAGAAGTGACATCTGTAACTGTGAATTTTCTGTTTCTCCATGGTAAAATCTAAGTGCAAAGGTAGGGGGTGTGACAAACCCAGACCTACTGGGATCTGCCACACGTTAACTAAGCTGCCACCAACCATTCCCTTTAAGAAGTCACACAGACCAGGGATGGATTTTCAACAAATAAAAGAATAAGGTTTATTTAAAACACACACAGGGAAAATAAAATGATCAGGTGAATAAGATATAGTAACGTGGCTTAGTCTCATTCATACATGCATACAGTTTGGTTCACACAGAACCCTTAACTTGAAGCACAGACCCTGAACCTATCAGTTCTGGCTAACCATACAGACACCTGAACCTATCAGGTTGGTACTCTGACACACAGTAGTACCCTGTCTGACACACAGACTCCCACACCAGCTTCTTCTTCCCAGCTGCTGCTTCTTCACATCCCAGCGTCTCCCCTTCTCCACACACGCATCACATATATATATAGTACAGCCCCTCCTCCTGATGTCCCGCCTTCCACTCCCCATAGGATGGAACTTTCCCTCCAAACCCATGACAGACAGGTAACATCAGTGCTGTATGTAACACCTCCCCTCTTTATAAGTTGTTTTGTAGGTGGAAAGCTAAGGTGCTTTTTCCCAAAAAAACAACCTGGATAAAACACACAAAAAACCTTGCAGCTGAAAAGCCAACCCAAGAGGAGCGATTGCTATCTCTTACATCTTTTCATTTTTTAAGAGCCTCGGGTGACTCTTCTGAAGATTGGGGAAATGCTGTTCTCTGAAAGTATGTTTAATCTTTCCTCCCATGCTGTTTCCAGTGTGAAGCCCCCACCTCTGAACTCCTATTAGCTTTGCAGATAAAAGAAAGAAACATAAAACAGGTAGAGACCTGTCTTTCTTCCTGTGCAGGGCTTAGCCTTGATTGCTGTTCAGCTGTAGTTCTCTGGCTTCAAATGTGTATCATTCATGTGACAGAAGTGAGGTTATTGTACATTGATCTAATTACTTAATCTTGTCTGTCTCATTCAGAGTCTTTCTTCCTATTATAAAGGCGGATTTGAACCAAAAATGAATCGTCGAGAAGCTAGTCTTATTTTAGGCATAAGGTAAGTTGTTCTGCATTTGAGACAGAATCTATTTAGTGCCCAACCTGAAAAATGGCATAAAACACAGGGCAAAAACACTCAACTCAATAGCTTTCATTTAAATAAGCATCTTAAAAGAAGTGACATCTGTAACTGTGAATTTTCTGTTTCTCCATGGTAAAATCTAAGTGCAAAGGTAGGGGGTACCTCTATAATAATTGTGTGCTATTAAGTCAATTCTGATTTATGGCAGCCCTTTTCAGGACTTTCTAGACAGAGAGACCTCAGAAGCAGTTTACCATTCATTCCCTTCTTCTGGGGGTGGCCTGGGACTATGCAGCTTGTCCAAGACCACACTAGCCAGTTCTTGGGATGCACAGTGGGGAATTGAGCTCCCGGTCTCTGGCTCTGCAGCCCAGTATCTAACTCACTGATCCAGCCAGCCAGCTGTTAGACTACTACAAAAGCAGAAACAAATGCTGGCTTTTGGTGTATATGGGCTTTCATCAGGCTGGGCTCCACTTTATCTGTGGAAGATTCAGAAAAAAATACAGGAGTTCCAAAAATCAAGGCTTGATGACTATTCCAGTTTCAAAATGAGGGCTGCAATGTTAGTTTTAAATTCCACCTTTGACAATCTTGTTTGAATTGTCCCAAGCCTGCCAGACAGGAGGCTGCCGGCCACTCAGCAGTCCTCTCCCTCACTTCATTGCCTTACATTGAAACTAATGTTCCTGTTCTTTGGCTTTCCTTTGCAAAAGTTTCACTTTTAAAATCAGTAGTATTTATTGACCTTTACATATTGCCTTTATCTCAGTGCATCTACTATAGTTTGCAAAATAAAATAATGGTTTGAAGGCAGAGTGAGTGGAGAGAAAAGTGGAGAACTGAACAAATTTGGGCATCAGTTTGTAGCTATTAAACACAGCCCTAAATGAAACACTCAGCTACAGTCTGCATGCATTTACATTTATATGGAATTTATAGCACAAAGAAATGCATGCACATTTCATAACTTCTGGCATGGCTCACATCTACCAATGGTCAACTAAAATGATTACTCATATGGGCAAATGTGAGTGGCTCAGAGAACACAAAACTGGAAGACTTTGGTGTGGAATTCTGTCTCCAAGACTGCAGTATCATCTTTTGCCCACCAGATGGCAAAGATCCCTAGTTTTTATGTTTTTAAGATGCAAACAGATTGCTGTTTTACACTCTGCAAAAGTAATTATTTTTGGTAAGCACTCTGAATTTATCTTTATAGTCCATCTGCTGGCAAGGACAAGATTAGAACTGCTCACAGGCAAATCATGCTTTTGAATCATCCTGATAAAGGTATGTTCTCAGTTTCATGGATACTGGTTGATGCTGTCAAGCCTTTTCTCATTACTCTGACACTTCATTGCTAAGTTCAGAAATTCTTATTTCAAACTAAATTTTAAAGCGTTACTCACAGTATGTTCAGCTTGTATAAAGCAATTTAGCATCAGGCCTCTATGAACCATAGCAGGGAATCTAATGGCTGCCTTTGGGGTCATTCACTAGATCACAAGCCTAAGTGGCTGTCAAGCCGTGAGATTCAGAAACTGCTGTATCAAGCTGTTAGCTTTTGAAGAAGAGGGGATGTTAGTCATGAAGCTGTGAAAAAGCCCATGTCTATTTCATTGGAATCTTTGCATCCCTGAAAAAAGATAAACCCACACATTTTTAGCAGAATACTATACCAATGATAAATATACATACTAGATTTTAATGTTCCTGAAAACTGTAAAGCCAGGCACAGATGTTTTAACTAGCTGGGTTTTTAATGTAAATGTATCTCCCCCAAAAGCTCTTATTATAACTTTAACTACACTACAGCTGGGTGAGAAGGAAAGCCCATATGTTCATTGCTGTTTGTACTTTGATACAACAGATGGTTGAGAGTTGCACAGTATTTAAAAAGCTAGAGGGGGGAAAGTCAAGATTTTTATATCTATTTGACAGATTTGTAGCATTTTCCTTCTCATTCGAGTGTATAAAAATATTTTTGACCTCATTAAGGTGAGGTATGGTGCACACACTTTTTTGGTATTGGTTCTCTTCACTCTTTCACTGTGTATTTGTACTTAAAATTATTTTCTGCAACTTGCTGTACATATTCAGACTTAAAGAGTCAAAGAATAAAGCATCTTTGGACATGAAGAATTGTACTTGTGATGAAATTATGATCAAAATACTGCTGTTCCATCTTAATTCAGTCAAAAGAGAAGCTTGCACCTAATTGTTTTTTTCAAAAGGACTTTCACTCTATGAGACAACATAGCAACAGTTGTGAGTCACCATCGGCCGGTGCCTTATAAAGCTTTTTAAAGAGAACACCTCCTTCTCCTTCCACCTATCTCCATTGTTTCTGCATAGCTGCTCCTGGGGTGGGGTACCTAGTGTGGTGTAGAGCACAGCGTAGTGGTCTAGTACTTAGGAGGCTTGGGTTCAGTTCTCTCACTTAGGGGTGGAACTGTTCAACCATTCCTTAAATACCTCACTTATCTTTAAAACCTTATTAGGATTGCTTAAGTCAGTTCTGACTTAATGACACATTATAACAACAAACTCCTAGGACACAAATATATTTATTTAAAATATGTTTAACCTGCCTTTCTCCTGAAAAAAGACCTAAGGCGGCTTACATCATTAAAAAGACAATACTTAAAATCTAAAAACAGTAGTATAGAAATATTTAAAAGAATTAAATAAATATTGTATTTAAAATGGTAAATAAAATCAGTATTAAAACATATTTCACATTTTGAGGCCCAGGTTTTAGCTCTTGTAATGACCTGCTGTATGTTTTTTTTTCTTACCTCATTTTCCTTACTTGAGTAAGCACAGTCTGTCAGTTTTTAGGAGGTAGGCCTTGGCTAAGATGCTAATAATCATATCAATCAGTCAAATTTAATGTTATCACTAAGTGTTTGTTTCTGTTCTAGAAGTTTACATTGAAGACAGAAAACATAATCACAGTAGGCAAAAAACCCTAAAATATTAGAACTTTGGGAAAAAAATCAGTTGACAGCTGTAGATGGTTGTCTGATATTGTTATTAATCCCTATATGTCTTTTCCTTTAACACAGTTGGTATTAGATCTAATTGTGCAACATATATTCCTTTGAATGTCTTAGTTTATCTGTATCTGCACTGGATAAACACCTGGTCTTCAGTACTGTACGTTGTTTTAAGTTTGTGCAATCTGTCATGCAACATTAACACCAGTTTCACTCCTTAGTGACTGTATGACTAGCAGAGGCTTCACTCTGGAGTACCTGAGTAAACTTTACTTGAGATTTTCATTGCTGATATCCTTATCAATTTGCAGAAATGTCTTAGTGTCATAATACTATACGACTGTCTTACAGTGCTGCATTAGGTACCTTAGTAAATGATTAAGTTTTAAATGTACTTGCTGTTTACCCATCTTGTGCTTGTATTGCATTTAAACACATATGAAATCTATTGCCAGAGGTAATAACAGTATACTTTCTTTATGAAGAATATAACATCTATATGCATCTTATCCTCCCAAAAACTCTATGTGGTCTACGTGATTCTCTTATTTATTTTGTTTTGTTTTATTTTATTTATAGAGCTTATAGAACATCTGACTTAGTGAGAACACTGTTTTGGGCGGTTTACATGATTAGGAAAAGCACACAAGAACTAAAATTTTAAAAAAACTAGAATGCAAGACACCACAAACTAAAACAGATAAGGTGACCTAAGTTTGACACCTGATAACTTAAATCAAGCCAAATAGCAAATTCTCTCCTTTTGTGAAATAAGCTCAGTTCAGAAGGAGTGACTGGCTGAGTTCTTTCAGAAACATATTCTTCACCATGACTTCCAACACATTTGTCAAAATCTTAACTGCAGACTTTGCACATGTGTGGTACAATCATTGCTTGCTTGAGAGATCCAGGCTTCCTAAGCGTTCGTTTTACATTCATCAGTAAATGCTTTAATGTAAATACTTGGTCACGTTACCAAAATAAGTGTGAGTTTCATGGATCAAAATTCGCTTCCTCAGATATGAGGAGGTGGATTTCTGAGGATTTCAACTCACAAAAGCTCACACAGAAAGAAATCTGCTAGTCTTTAAGGTGCCATAATACTTCCCCTGCCCTTGCCCCAAATACACATTTTACTACCACAGCCACCTCTTTGGAACCTTGTTTTTGGTTGTCCTTCTTCCCCAAGCCCTATCTGTGCACTTTGGAAAGCACAGCAATATCCTCCCAATCTGTTTTTCTCTTTAACACACCTCTTTTTAACCAATGCCTTACTTAGCGAAGGGATGTGGTGGCGCTGCGGGCTAAACCGCAGAAGCCCGTGCTGCAGGGTCAGAAGACCAAGCAGTCGTAAGATCGAATCTACGCGACGGAGTGAGCGCCTGTCGCTTGTCCCAGCTCCCGCCAACCTAGCGGTTCGAAAGCATGCAAATGCAAGTAGATAAATAGGGACCACTTCGGTGGGAAGGTAACAGTGTTTCGTGTCTAATTTTGGCTATCTTTCTCCATGGAAAAGGGCATAAAAGTGTGTGTTGAATGGTTGTTGTGGGTTTTTCGGGCTCTTTGGCCGTGTTCTGAAGGTTGTTCTTCCTAACATTTCGCCAGTCTCTGTGGCCGGCATCTTTAGAGGACAGCGCTCTGTGCTCTGGTGTAGTTTGCTTGGGAGTGGAGTACAGAGTGCTGTCCTTTGAAGATGCCGGCCACAGAGACTGGCGAAACATTAGGAAGAACAACCTTCTGAACACAGCCAAAGAGCCCGAAAAACCCACAACAGCCATTAGATCCCGGCCGTGAAAGCCTTTGCGAATACATTGTGTGTTGAATATTTAGATGTGATTAAATTCCTGTTTTGGAAGCACAGGAGAGTGTCCTGAACCTTTCTGGTTCTGTGAAGGTAAGGAATCATATATCTTGTTCTAAAGGGCTTCCTGGTGTTACACAGGATAAAGGATGTGCAGAATTCATTTGCCCACGCAGGGTTTCATGGGGCTTAATGTCATGTTTCAAAGCATTTGTATGCCCATGTTTCCTCTCTCCTAGCCATAAAAGGCTGGTATGCAGGTGTTGCACATAAAGGAGACAGCACATGGGTTAAATGTAAGATTTTACAAAAGGTAATCAAACATGGTTTCACAAGGACTTTTCACATATTGAGTGCCCCATAGGAATCAGCTCTAATGCTGACCTTGCACTTGGTTCTTCCACATTGTTATTCTTTTGAACAGGTGCTTAGAAAAGGTTGTTCACAACATCCTGTTGTTGAAAGCACATTTTCACAGACAAGTGTCTAGGTGTGTGTCGCTGCGTGGTGAGCTTGTGACAGCAGACCTTTGGATGCCGTTTTCAGCAGTAGGAGACAGATGGTTGGCACTCAAGGGGAGAGTAAAAAACAAACAAACACCAGGACTGCTGAACTGTAATCACATTGTTAGATGGACTGGAAAGTAGTAATAGTGTTGAGGACTGGGAGGAAAGCATTTTGTGTTTAAATAGCTTTAATATGACACTCTAGTCTGGTATGTGTGTGTCTTAAATCAAGAATAGGGCATAACTTGCTTTGTGTACTTTAATTGCTCTTTATTAAAAATATCCCTACTGTGGTTTCTTCAAATAATTGTGTAAGAAGCTAAATAAAACCTGCTGTCTTGAAACACATTTGGTCTGACTTCACTGTTTGATGCTATGACTGTGTACAGATAAGGCTTTGTTATAAAACTGATACTGAGAAAAAGAACCTAACTTTTCTTAGTATATAAAGCAACTGTCTTTATATCTTAATATCTAAAGAATTCAGAATTCCATCACTACACTGGAATGGTTTAAAAGATTTTACCAGGGCTTCGCTCTATGATGCTCAATATGATATTCATAATTTCCCAATCCTGTTGGTTTTAAAAAAAATACTAGACAATTCCCAGAATCAGCTCTTGGATGTACGTTTGCCAATAAATATCTTGTAATATTATGCAAGCAACTTATACTGAGATGTCTCATTTCAAAATATTGCCTGTGGATTTTCCAGAGAACATTGTCTTTTTGGGAAAGTGGGAAATGGCTTGTAAATTTCTTGTTGCTATATTAATTTCTTATGCTAGTTTCTTGGATGAAAGTTAATGGAATTTAATTTGTGATGTGATCTATGAAAGTTAAAATGTAGGAACTATGTTGTTAAGAGAAATGTAGAACTATATTGTATTTCCTTTTTCTTCTTTACTTTAGGTGGCTCACCTTACTTAGCAGCAAAAATCAATGAAGCAAAAGATTTGTTGGAATCAAGCAATAAACATTAGGACTCCAGGATTTACCTTAAGAAACATGGAACTTTACATTCTGTCTACAAAACATCAAGTAGATGATACCACAACTACTTACGTTCTTTCCTTCCAGATTGGACAACAGTGTTAAAGGACGGAGCTGCAGTCTCATTCATAAACACTTGAAGACACAGTTTTAATGATATAATAATAAAATCATCTGTTACTTTCTCATTAGGAATCTCGCTTGTACCATTCTTGTAGAAAAAGTACATTACATGGATTTTACGTTTGAAAGATAGCCACGACCATATGGAGGAGATGCAAGATTAATACTGTCCTTTTCCTAGTCTTCCACAAAAACATGAAGCTTCATTCAGAAATGTAACACACTGTGTACTAACATTAAATTATAAAAGATTACACCACTGTGCAGCAGGGAATAAAGTACTGGAGTCCAAATGCAAATTATGCCCCACCATATTTATTTATTTCTAATATTTCTAGACCACATTTAACAGCAAAGCTCTCCCAAAGTGGCTTACAGTACATAATAAAGTTCTATGGAGTATTACTATAAACTAATACTGGCAATAGTAACAAACTGTCCAGCCAAGACTATGAAAATCTAAGACTCAATTTTAGCTAAAAGCCAAAAAGAATCCAGTACAACATAGTGAAAAAAAGTGTCAGAGTCAACAAAAAGTATCATTATAACTCTAAAGCTTATGATGATGATGGAACTTTACTGACACAGGATAGTGATCTGTTCCAGAGATGTGAGGCCAGTGTGGCAAGCCTTCATCTTTGTACTTGCCAGCATGGCTGCTTCAAAAGGCAAGGAAGTGAGAAAGGCATCTGCTACTGAGTTAAAACTAACTACCCTGTTACTGATAAATGCTGTTCTGCCAAATGACTTGGTCCCAGTGTCATCTGCCTCCTGCAGTATCTGGATTGGGGAATACCTTTATTGGATCACTAAAATACATTAAAAACAAAATGAGCTATCATGCCATCCAAGAGTTTTCATCAGGATGGGAATTGTGGAGCTTGTGGCAGAGTTAGGGAAGTTGAAGGATCTGGAATTACGCTATTCTCTAGGTACTCTTTCTAAGCAGCCATTTTGTCTTGCTCAAGATAGTATTCCAGATGGCCTCACCCTTGGTTTTACTGGCCTGTGGGAAAATAGAAAAGGACTCTTGGGCAGCTGATATGTATGCACCTACAGTCTCCCAAAGGGTAGTGTCCTGACACCATTACTTTTTAACATTTACACAAATGATCAACCAACATCCCCATGCTCCAGGAGTTTTATTTATGCTGGTGGTCTTGCCTTGGCAGTCTAGGGAGAAACCTTCGAGGCCATCAAGCACCAGCTGCATTAGAAGATCTTTTCTTATATTCTAAAAGCAACCAGCAGGAACTAAATCCTTTAAAAACAGGTCTGTTCCTTCCACTTAAAGAACAGAGAGGAAGCTATGAGTTAGTTGGGAAAGCAGGTTTGGGACATTGCCCTGCCCAAAGGGTTTGGGCATCATTCCTGAATTAAAACTTGATTCCCCCCCCCCAAGAAAAATTGTCTAAACACAAAATTGCTACCAGAAATAACATACTTAGGAAACTGACTGGGTCAGGCTGGGGTGCACACCCAGAAACAAGAAGAACAGTTTTGGCCCTGTGCTGCTCCACAGCAGAATTTGTTTAGGCATCCTTCAGTCTTGAGAGACTATGGTAACGTGCTCTGTATGGAGGACTTGGAACAGCGTCTAGTGTGGCTGAGAAGGCCAATTCAAGAGTGACAACCCCACAATGAAGAAAAATACAATCTCCCCTGTCCAGCTCCCTGATTTTGCTGGTTTCGGGACTGCCTCTTTGCCTCGGCCTGCTGGACAAGTGTCTCTTCAAATTGGGAGAGGCTGTGATGTACCGCTTGCCTCCAGGCTGAACACTCAAATGTCAAAGTTTCCCATCTGTTGAGGTCCATTCCTAAGGCTTTCAGAATCTGCTTCCAGATATCCTTGTATCACAGCTGTGGTCTCCCTCTGGGGCGATTTCCCTGCACTAATTCTCCATACAACAGATCTTTTGGAATCTGACCATCAGCCATTCTCACAACATGCCCAAGCCAACACAGACGTTGCTGTTTCAGTAAAGTATACATGCTAAAAATTCCAGCTTGATCTAAGACTACTCTATTTGGAACTTTGTCTTGCCAGGTGATATCAAAAACGCATCGGAGACAACGCATATGGAATGTGCTCAGGTTCCTCACCTGCCGTGCACAAAGGGTCCAGGACCCACTGCAGTACAGGAGTGTACTCAGGACACAGGCTCTATAGACCTGAATCTTGGTATATGCCATCTGCTTCTTATTGAGCCATACTCTCTTTGTGAGTCTAGAGAACATGATAGCTGCTTTGCCAATGCATTTATCCAGCTCGACATCTAGGGAGAGAGTGTCAGAGATCGTTGAGCTAAGGTACACAAAGTCATGAATAACCTCCAATTCTTGCATGGAGATGGTAATAGAGGGAGGTGAGTCCATGCCCTGGCCCATGACTTGTGTTTTCTTCAGGCTGATTGTTAGTCCAAAGTCTTGGCAGGCCTTGCTAAAATGATTCATGAGTTGTTGGAGGTCTTCAGCAGAATGGGCAACAGGCTGCATCATCAGCAAACAGGAAGGCCCACATGCATTTCAGTTGGACTTTGGTCTTTGTTCTCAATCTTGAGAGATTAAAGAACTTTCCATCTGATCTAGTCCAGAGATAAAACACCTTCTGTTGCAGTTCCAAAGGCATTCCACAGCGAAATATGCTAGTGCCATATGGTATAAAGCAGCATATGCCAAACAAATGGAGATAGCTCTTAATCAATCATGCAGGATTAATACTGGCTGCCTAAAACCTACCCCCATTGAATGTCTATTATTTGGCTGGCATTGTGCTTTCAGAATTATGTCAAGAGATGCTAGAAATAATGAATAGAATAAAATAATACAGCTCCAAACCATCCACTTAATGGACACCAACCCCCTAGACAACAGCTAAAATTAAGGAAAAGTTTTTTGCACACTTCTCAAGCTCTAAATATTACACCCCAGAAGAGGCTAGGCTAAACCTGTGGAGAACAAAAACAACACACCTTATCAAATGGATGGATGCTGAAGAATGTCTCTTGCCAGGACAAGACTCTAGATGGACCATCTTGAAGACACATAATAGACTTTGAAGTGAAGTAAGAAGATCAAAGAATAATCAAATAAAATGGAGCTACTTGGATACACAAATTTTCTGTGACTGGAGAAATTCAATCAATGCAGTACTTATGTGCCTGCAATTTATGGCCCACCATGGGTACAAATGAAGATCTAGCAAATGGCCAAGGTAACTCTACTGAAGTAGCTTGCTTCTGGTCAAAAGTAATCTAATTGCCTTAACATTTTAATTTGTTTTTAACATTGCCTATATTATATATAGATCCATAATTTTAAATTGTGCAATGCTCTGATATGAATAAATAAAGATTGTCTGCCTTTAAGAGGGGTTTTAATTTTTGTTTATGCATAATGCCTGGCTGGCTATTGAGAAATAATAAAATATAAAATATAATTATAAGCACCGTTCTTTGGTGTCTTCGATTTCATGAAATCCTGCCCTAGGTGGTTCTTGAGGGGTTTATCACAAATATGTCCAGTTTTAAATGCCTGAAATCACTAATTGGTGTTAATTCTGGAAGTGATTTAGAATGGATCTAAATAAGGTTCATATCCCTGTATGAACTTGTACAGTTCATTTCCCCCCCATTGTAATGTAGCTTATAGAATTGCTGTGAGCTTCTAGGGAAGAGCAGGAAACAGTTTACATAAAAATAAACATAAGGTATAAAGCACAGAAATAACATTACATGCTAAAATGATTGTTGTTATCTTATTTAATCTGTTGGGCCTGAAATACTCCTGATTAGAGATCAGTTCGGAAGTTTGTGCTGGTTCGTACGGGCAGTGTCACAGGTGCCGCATGTTTCCGTCTCCTGCCTCTCTGGCCAATGACCCATTCACCAGCCAATGAGCGCTTCTCTCCTCTTCCTCTTCAGTTGTTAGATCAGTCCCTGGCAGGAGCATGGGTTTGCCTGTCCTGCCTCCTTGTCTGAGTAGGCGATCAGCCAAGGAGGCGGGGCAGGGACGCCTGTGCTCCTGCCAGGCGCTGGTTGAACAGCTGAAGTGGAGGAGGAGAGGAGCACGTGCCGGCTGGTGAGTGGGGGATCCAGGCGGGTGAAGGGAACATGAAGCACCTCTGATCTTCTACATTCAAAGAGGCATAAGTCTCCGAACCAAGGTTCCTGCCCATGTGTACTCCAGATACTAAATTTCTGTTTTTCGTACTTATTTAAGACATCATTCCAGATACTGTTAAACTTAGGTTGCTTTCTGTGGTTCCAGCCTACCATTAATAATCTGTCTCACAGATGAATGGTGAGGGAATGTTCTGTACAGATGTGTTCATACAGCCTGCTTTTGCATGTTTGGATTTGTTAACAGCATGCAGCCCGCTTTTGCATGTTTGGATTTGTTAACAGCAATTCCAAAAGTGGCATATTCTGAACCAGTCCTAAATACACATACAAGGAAATGTGCAGAAAACTCCCCCTTTTTCCCCAGATCATGTTGGGGTGATGGAACAATGGGATTGCAACCAGGTCCTTAAATTTAACATCTGTCATTATCTACTGCCAAGTTCTCCAAGTATGCCAAGTTCCCTAGTAGGAAAGGAGGATACCTGCCTATATAGCTGTCCCTGTTCCTAAGGAGGACTGTTCCGCTGTCTGAGAATTGTTGGTCTTAGGTATTTGTAAGAGAGACAATGGAATTCTTTATATAATACATGTGTTGATGATTTTATCTTCCAGTTTCAGGTACATATGGCATGGTTGTGTGAAAGGCTGGCGGCTTTCAGTGCTATTTCTTATAATAGCATAGTCCTTCCTAGCCTAATGGATATGTACATATATACTGCATACCGTGTTTCCCCGAAAATAAGACAGGGTCTTATACTAATATTTGCTCTCCCCCCCCCAAAAAAATGCATTAGGGGTGATTTTCAGGGGATATTTTATTGTTTTCATGTACAACAATCTACATTTATTCAAATACAGTCGTGTCATCTTCTGGTTGATGCACAATAGTGAAGGGCAGGGGTAGGACTTATATTACGAGCACCATGAAAAATCATACTAGGGCTTATT